CCCACAGTTGCACCCAGCAGGGAGCGTGCTCCCGGTCCATGGCACGGGAGGGATCGCACAGATGTCTGCCACCTTCTGCTTTCACATCAGGCTTGCATCTGGCCCTGCACACTGTTCAGAAGGAGATGTGTATCAAAACAGCATTTCTATTTTTACCATCCTTGAAAAAGGCAATTTAGCGAGGAATTGAGAGGTAGGATAGAGGAGAGAATCGTTCTATCTAAACCTGTTTGCAGGGATCTGCAGCTGGTTAAATTGTAGGTACATCTTCAAAGCTGGAAGTCCGGGTTCTCATGCAGGTGTTGTCCTCTGCAGTGGGCTGAATTTATTCTATTTATTGCTTTTTGATTATAAATGGCTGCCTATTTTTATTCGGTGAACATTTGAAAGAATGCTCTTGATGCTGCGGTATCTCTTCCACACATGCACACCTTCTGCAGTTGTTGTGCTGTCGCTGGGGCAACCTTCACACAGAAAGATGGTGTTCGTGTGAAGTCTTTGAAGGGAAGGGCCTCCTGTCACCTCTGCTTACCTAATATAAGCTCTCTGGTTTAGCACTGAAATGAAACCATCTGGAAAAAGAATCTCCCAATAAAATACTCCCCTTAATTTAAAGAAGTTGCACATTTAAAATGTCTAGATCTTCTGTGGGAACACACTGGTTTCATCAACATTTTCAAGTAATACACTGAACTGTTTTAATCAAGTCAACATTCTTCCTTTCGACTTTATGTTATGGCTTTGATTGAAGTAAATCACTCCGAGTATATTGTTTTGCAAAAATGTCAGAATTTATAACTTTTTGGCCCCAAATTGAATTGAAGTAAGCATTTGGAAATCTTATTTTGTTCTACCCACTTCCCCTGCCAGGAGGCAGGAATATGATGTTTTTCAGCCAGTGCTAGTTATTTATTTTGATGGTTGCTGCTGCTAGCCTTGGATGTCCTGTCACACAGATATGGGTTTCATCTGCAGTGTGAAGCAGTCTCATTTCCTCTTCCATGAAGATGTATGCCTGTAGTTCATGTTCATTTAGACTCTTACTTTTTTAAGCTGGTTTTCCCTAATGCATCTTTGCTTTGCCTTTCCTAGGAACTGTTTTTAAAGAAGGGATTGAGGAATAAGGAACTCCTTTGTGGCCTGACCATCCTCTATTTACTGCTGATTCACCTCATAGGTTTACTTCTGTTGACTTTGAGGGACTTACTCCCAATCCAGAGCACTGACCCGCCCTTGCGTGGGCACTCATGCTTTCTCAGGATGCACAACATGCACAGGACTGGCAACAGCTACATTAATAGTGGCCCAGTACCACCCCACTAAAGCCAACGAGGTTAGCACTTGAACCAAAGGAGAGCAGGATTTGCAGCGTGGTGGATTATGAAACTCCACAAAGGACATAAATCAAAGCCTTCTGGGTCATGAAGCAATGCATGAAGACTGGGGTGACACTTGGGTTATCTTGTTGTAGAGCTCTGTAAAGCTTTCAACAGAGACTTTGAAAGACCTTTATTTTAGGTGTGCAGGGCTTACTTTGTGGTGACATCCCACCCAGCTGAGCAGTGAAAGTCAATGACATTGATAAGAGTAGGCAAAGGACAGAGTTGAGAGTAAAAACACCTGATTCTCATTTAGGTGAAGCCCTTGCGCATTGTCCCAGTTGCGTAAGATGCCGTTCAAGAAAGCATTAAAATAGTTAATGGAAGCACATTATTGCAGTAATATCTGCTGGTATTAAACTCCTCTATCCTCCAGAGATAGCGCATTTTTTACCCTCTTGGTATGGACACCTCTATTTCACAGCTCCAGCTTTTGATGCTGTTACCAAGTAATTAGCTGCTGCCTCCGGAGCATCGTTTCAGCGCTGGGGAAGGGCATAGATCCAGAGGCAGTTGCACATCAGTTGCGTGGGCTGGCAAGAACACATACGCTCTGTTTGGAGGGATGCGTTTTCTCAGTGGGGCTCAATAGCTGCGCTTGCGCGCTTCACGCAAAGTTGTTTTTCCCTGTGCCTGAAGTAGAGGCTCTTTCTTTGATATGCAAGTTTATGGGTTGCGGGGGAGCGATGGGTGTGGGGAACAGATGGAGAAAGCACAGGGAAAATGGACTGGTTTAAAGGAATAAAAAGAGATACTTTTGTTGGAATCATCACACCAGGAACAAGGAGCCTCTGATGAAGAAAAGTGAGCCTGAGGGTAGGGAAGATGGTGGTGTTATTGACAGAAAAAGGGTTTATGAGGATTTCAGCCTTATCAGTTTATGGTTGGTAGCTTGTGAAACCAAATGTTGAGGGACGTGGAAATGATCAAAGGAGAAAGGGTATGGCGGGGCTGGATGAGGCCTTGGGCAGAGTGGGAGAGGTGGGGAGCAGGGACAGGGCTTGCTGCGGGAGAGGGGCCGCCGCTCCCTGGGCCTCTCCGAGGGCGAGTGGCGAGGGAGCAAGGAGAGGAACAGAGGAGAAGCTGGAGGTGACCTGGACAAGCAACCAAACCCTTGGACAGAAGTGGGGTGCAGATGAGGAGGGGAGGAGGTAACTCTACAGGGGAAGGCAGTCGAGCAGCTCCTTTCACAAAAACAGGACTGTCCCATGATAAACTCTCAGCTGTGCGTGAACTTCTGGGCATGCTAGAGATAAGCTATGATGGGCTTTCCACTTCTTGCTTCAGGACACAATGGGGACTTCTTGTTGGGAGTTCAAGTTTATGCCTGAGAAGCGAGTGCTTGTTTTGGGAAACCTGAGCGTGCAAGCAGGGCAGGCAGACACCCTTCATGGGGGTGTCCTGCTCTCATTGTCACGTGTACCGGATGGGCTCTGCTGCACCAGGACAGCAGGAGTTGGCTGTGAGCGGTTGCTGTTTTGGGTATAAAGCGGGTGAGGCACCCAAGCTTGCCCCGTGCGTGGCCCACAGGTGCTGCTTACCGCGGCGACGCTGTGCCCTGCCTTCGTGCATGCCGAGGCCGGCCACGACACACGCAGGGCTCACATCGGGGTCCCAGGGCTTTCGGAGCCTGGGAAGCACTGATGTGGGAGACGGGGGCGCAGGCAAGCACAGAGTTTGACCACGGGACTTGCATGTGCCAAAGTGTCAAAGCCAGGAGGTAGCAATGGGAGGGGACGGTGACAAAATCCTGCTGTGGGAGCCCTAGGGGAGGAGCTTACCTTTACTTGTCCTTCCATTCATTATTTCCCAGCTAAAGCTATGTAATCATTACAAATTTGGATTTTCTGGAAAAGCTGCTGACAGTAGGATAAATTACTAATTCCTAGGCTGGATTCTGAAGAATTAATTTCAGCACCACATATTGAAAATTCTCCTTCATACGAAATATCCCAGTTTTCAGAGCAGTTCTGAAAAAGTGAGGTTCCTCCAAGCCATTATTAAGTCTCTGACAATTTTCTTTTTCCTTCATTCAGTATCCTCTAGCGCACTCAACTAATAGACTCATATTAGTAGTAGAAAGCCTACATTTGTAAGAATTATATCTCTGTGCAATGTACCGAAGTAATTCAAATTCCAGGGCAGAACTGTGGAAATTCTTAGCACAGTTTGTCCGTATCTTATCAGAACAGGCACGCTTTTCCCGCAGGCTGGCCGCTTTCCAGCAGCGCCGACGCAGGCAAGTTGGAAGCCCACTTTGAATGGAGAAGTAATCTTTCTGAATGGGTTTTCTGGCAGGATTCCTGTTGCGTGTGGGTTTCATTGTTCGTGGTGATGTGACTACATCTTACCCCCTAGATAAATGGTTTAGGGTCTTTATTTTTTTGACGATGGGAGGGGTTCTGGAAAAATAATCAGATCGCTAATTCTATAAAATTCTATAGGCAAACTTTTTTGTCTTTTAACTGCTTTTCTGTGTGAATTGTGTGGCTTTTGAGCATGCTTTTGATATAAAGGACAACAGCTGATTTACTTTAGCTCTTAAACTTTTCTGTAGTCAAAGGGCTTAGTAAATAAAAAGCAAACCACTTTCTTTTCCTCAATGCTTTTTAACAAAGTGTTATTATGCTTATTCATTTTTAATATATATACACGTGTGTGTATATTCTGTTCAGACTGTAGGGATTCACTACAAAGTGTTGCTGTAAGTCGTTGCTGGCGGTGGCGTACCCTCAGTTGGTGTAAATGTCCACCGCGTGTGCAGTTTCAACTTCAGCGGAGTCGGAGTCGATCCCTCCGTGCGCTACAGGCCTGCCGTGGAGCTGTGCCAACTTCTGTGAGCTGCGGATCCGGCCTCTAACGTGTATTACAGGATAGCTAATACGATGTTTAACCGCACAGTAACCACACTATACAAAGCAGTTCTATTTTAGCGCTGCTGGGGAAAAAAAAAAAAAACACCCTGTTAATGCTGAAGACTGAAGCGCAAAAGGTTGCTAAGTGGGGGAAGGAGGCAGAAAAAAACCTCTTAAACTTTGAGTTAACGTGTGTACAGACGAACTCTCACATCTCAAGGCTAAGTTTTGTCTAAGAAAGAGCCTTAAGATTTGGGTCTTTGTAATTAAAACATAAAGAATAATTATCTTAAACTTATATCTGCAGAGGAAGAACTGTGTATTTACTTATTATCTGCTGAAAAATCTTTCTCTTTTTCAGCCAGAAAGAGTAGCAAAAAGGCCTTGAAGTATAAAGGCCTTCTTTTTATTGAAATATATATTTATTTTGTAAACAGATTAAAAAGAGAACAATCACAACCTTTTTTCCTCCCTTTTTCTTTCTTTCTTTTTCAAAATGGGGGTGAGGGGGAAGCATGCGACTCCAAACTTAGTGCCTACAATACTTGGAAGACATTATGATTAATTTCATACTTAGGTTTCCAGATGTTGGATTTTGTCCCAACTTTTAAAGACCTCTAATGTTTAACAGGATATGTGCTAAGTGTAGTCTTTAACAGAGTTTTCTTTCATAACTCTAGGATCTATGAGAAAAGGTAACTCGGGGAAAACACGGCCGATTCGGAGCTGAATCTACAGCCTTCTAGAAAAAAAACCCCAACATTAAATGTGCAAGTTTGGACCGGCGCTGTATTTGTTTGGGAAGACTATGGATAGGTACCAGAGCTGGCAGCAGAGCTGTTTGGTTGCCGTCCTCCTTGTGCTGCTGGGGACCGGCATTTCCCGTGCGCAGAGGGACTGCACGGGTGCGGAGTGCCAGCCCCTGGACAACTGCATCGAGGACGTGCTGGAGCCTGGCGAGTGCTGTGCCACGTGTCTGCAGCACGGCTGCACGTGCGAAGGCTACCAGTACTATGACTGCGTCAACGTGGGCTTTATCAATGGCAAAGTACCTGAAGGGCAGTCATACTTTGTGGACTTCGGGAGCACCGAGTGCTCGTGCCCCAAGGGAGGGGGCAAGATCAGCTGCCAGTTCATGCTGTGCCCAGAGCTGCCCCCAAACTGCATCGATGCGGTGGTGCCAGCCGACGGGTGTCCTCAGTGTGGGAGAATAGGTTGCCTCCATGAGGGCCAGAAGTATGTCGCGGGGCACACCTTCCACATGCCCCCCTGCAAGGTTTGCCATTGCCCGAACGCTGGCGGTGAGCTGATGTGCTACCAGCTTCCGGACTGTAACACGTTCGCCTTAAACACTGCGAGTCCAATCGATGCTGAAGATAGCGAACCAGAGAGGCACTACGACGATCCGTACAGCTATGACCAAGAGGCACCAGAAGGGGACAATGCCCAGGTGGAGTCTCCAAAAAAATACAGGAGTTATTCGTCCCACCTAGAGCAAGAGAGCATCAGCCAAGAGCAAAGTGAGGATTATGACTACCTGCCAGCCAGCATCGCTCCTTCGGCTTTGGCTCTGGCTGACCCATACACCGAGGAAACAGCTGCACCGCTCACCACACCAGTGCCTAAGGTGCCCTCTGAAGTTCGCAGTTCCACAGAAAGAAGCGAGCGAAAGAGGGTGCCTCGCACTACTGCAGCATCCCTCCAGCAAGTGACGCATAAGGAAGCACCAGTAACCACCAGTGCTCCTCCAGAGCACACAACGGCCACCACTGAGACACCCAAGCACCTGGAGGAGTTTGAGAGGAGACCAAAGGGGAAGCAAGGGGACAAAGAGCGGCATGAGCAAGAAAGAGCCCCCCACTCTAAAATGAAAAAGCATGCCAGGAAAGAAGACCCGGGGAACAGCATGTATCTAGGCTTGAAAGAGGTGAATTTAACAGAGGCGAGTTGGTCAAAGTCTTCCCATGAAACACGCGAGGGAAATGCTTTCCCCAAGGTAAAGTTCAGTGCAACAACCTCTCCTCCTGTTGCTCTAAAGGAAGACCGAAGTCAGTCATCCCAAAAGCAGTCACAGACGCTTTATCGTTACCATCCCGAGGAAGATGGGGACCCCAACTCTATTCACGCTATGCCCAGGTTACCAGAAGGTAAGAACTACTTTCAGTGTAGATGTCTAGAGTACATTTACTCATAATAACGTTGGTGCATAGCCGCTGTTCTTTTCTTCTTGCTGCTCCACATGGGCATGAAATCAAGCAAACTTCCAGTTACCTTCTTGTATCTCTTTCAGAAGATGGTTTGTGTTTCACTTGACGTAATAGATGCCATTTCACTCTTGCCTACCTTGCTTTGATTTTGCGGACTGTGGATGGTGTTTTCTGGTATTTTAACTTTATTTCAGATGATGGTTTGTTAAACTCTGACCTTTTCCTTCCATTACTTGCTTTTAATTTCCGATGTGGTATTAGAGAAGCATCTTACTCTGCACAAAAGGATTTAATTAGTTATCTGCTTGGATCCTCCAGCTACCAACTGAATGTAATCACATTTGTAGCTTTTGTCTTTTGCTGGGGAGGAAGTGAAACAGTTGTGCTTCTAACTACGAAAATGTTTACAGCACTTGTAATATTTATCCTATGGCTTAAAGGCTGTCTAAGCTCGTTAGTACAAGAACTTGATAGATACGCTCAAACATCCCTGAGGACTAGTAGGGAGAAGAAGGACTGCCTCTTGCTTTGTGTTTTTTGGGGGCTGGAAGTTTATGATGTTTATGATCAGCTGTGGCAAGTGTACGTATTTCCTCTCTGCCTCTAGACTCCTCTTGACATCTGCAGTGAATTTGATTATATGCTTTATGCAATGCTCATTACTGCAATGAATGCAAACTTTATCGCTAGAAATTAGGACATACACAGCTCATATTTCCAATTCATTTTTCATCAAATCAAGAGTAATATCTCCTTTTTCAAGATGTGGCACAAAATGTTCTCATGAGACTCAATGTATGATACTTGCAGTCGGAGTAGAGAATACTGATTACTCCCTAGACAGTGATATTTCTTCCTGGGTTATCTAGGTGGCCCGGAAACATCTTGAGCTGCCTGGTCTGTCTACTCAAGAAGTTTAAGGGAGACCAGAGGAGAACAGATTTGGAGCTGAGATTCTAGGTCCCAACACAAACAGCACCTCATGATTGTTTACCAAGCAAAAGATGTACGAGGTCCGTGAACGGAGGTGGTAGCCTTTTTCTTTTTTGTTCACTGTGGAAGTGAACGTTTTTATTTTACATGTTGACCTCACAGTTAGTGATAGCAGCTACAATCTGGGTCAGACGGTGACTTCTTGATTTCACCAAAACAACGCTCTAGAAACCAGTCTTACCTGAAGACCCTCACTGCATTGTAGGAGCGCGCCAGGCAGCGGTGTTTGAACGCAATGCCTTGAAACGAGAAAACATTCGCTGAGCACACGTACCATCCAGAGGGATGCCATTAGGAAGTGTAGGCTTTCAAAAGTGATTTAATAGATACTTAATGTGCTCCAAGCCTTACCTCTATGCTCCCTTCTCTTCACGGGTGCCTGTTGTATTTTACTTCTACCTCCTTTTGTTATGTGAAAGATGACTCAAACGGGTCACTGGCTGATGACCCGAGGGGTATAGTAAACTGATTCCAGCCTTCCAGTTTGTGTAACCTGAGAAAGAGGATCTGTCCACACCACCTTCACCTGCTCTTGTGCAAATGCAAGTGACAAAAAGCGTCTGCCTACATGGTGCACTGAGTTCATCTGTGGTGGGTTTTACGCTGCTTAGTGTTACCGCGCAGCTTAAGCGCAAAGCTCTTCGTTGCAGCCTACCACAAAATCTGATCTGAGCTGTGCATCAAGGCTGTGCATAATACATGGGTCTGACTAAGGACTAATACACAATATCCCATTTTCTGATAGAACTTAAAAACAATCTATTTAAAATTAAATTGCCCTGTTTTTTTTCCTCTCAAAAAAGGAAAGATGGGTAGACCATCCTGAAATTTTCAATGAGAGGGTTTTAAGAACGCCTACTGGGGTGAAAGTGTTTAGCAGCAGAGGTTAATTGCTACATTTTAGAGTCTCCTTGGGTGATTTCCAGTCTGTGATTCCTGGGAACTGCTTGCCTTGAGACAGGTCTGGTTGGGGTCTGCATTAGGTCAGGATGTCTGTTGGATAGGAGCAAAACATGATGGATGTCATGTCAGGCATGAATCGTCTTAGCCTAGAGAAGCAGGCTTGGGCATTCCTGGATGCCATTTAGCTGATATATATATATATATTTAATTTCCTTTAAATATCGTAGAAGTAGAAATGAAAATGCATAGTAATTGGGAGCACAGCACTCTCTCTTTGGCTGCAGACAATGCAGCTCTGAGGCTGCTGGTTTTCCGTTTGGCCTGTGGGGGTGCTGCATGTCCTGGGGAGGAACACGTGCGTCTCCCCACAGCCGCTGGCCAGTGGGGCCTGGCTAGGCAGCCCCTGCCCTCCGTCCGCTCCACCATTCCCATTGGGAACAGCTGGTGGAAGCAGATCTATGGAGGCTGTGAAGGAGCTACAGAACCTTCTCCAAAAATCAGGAATCTCCCTTGGCATGGCTAGCGCCGGCACTCATTCCTAGGGACTGCTGTATTCTCACTTCTTTTGTTGTTTTAATTGTTGTGGTTGTGACTCATGTGAGTAGATCCATATGTTTCAAGTAATAAAATGCATACATCTTCTGTCTCTTTGGTGACTCCTGAGCCGGTGTTAGAGGGGGAGTGAAGATATTTGTCAGACTTGAAAGAAAAATTAATTTTGCCTTCAGATCTGGAATTAAAAGATAAATTTTCTACATGTATTTCTAGCTATAAAATGGCACAATCCACCAGAATTGCCAAGTAACTTCTCTTCTCCCCTCAGGAACCAGCAGCACGATATAAACTGCATCAACCCCCTAATTTTTAAAGCCCATGAGGCCGTTTCCGAATGGGGCTGCCACTCCAGCAGCGGCGTGGTGCCGCACCTCCGGGTGCGGCCGGGCCATTCCTCAGAGCCTGCACACCCCGAGAGCGCGTTCAGGTCCCATCTTTGGGTCCTCACCCCTTTGGGGTGCGATGTGAGCCAGCCCTCCTGCAGGCACGGAGCTGCTGGTGCCCCAAAACAAGCAGGCGCTGCCGGGCTGCCGGCCGCTCCCTGCCCTGCCCCGGGGCTCCCACGGGCAGCGAGCGCAGATTTTGTTCCACCGGCTCCCAGCGGGGTGCCATGCGGTGCAGAGGCTGTGGCTCACGGCCCCGGGAGGCTGTTTTGGCCGCTGTGAACGCGGTGTGATCGCAGAGGGTCGCGGTGCCCAGGGAAGGGTGCGTGCAGCCTGAGGGGCTGGAAGTGGCTGTGCCTCAGAGAGGAGGGCTGGGTTAGGGGATTGCTTGGGGTTTTTGCACTTAATTGAATTTTTCTCACCAGTTTTTTTCATCAGTCTGTGTATGGGGAGGGATTTTCTTTATTTTGGCTTTTTCCTTCCTTGAAATCATCAATACAGTTATTAACATTTCATCTTAATTGCTTTTTTTTCTGGAAACATGTATTTATTTAGCTTCCCGAGTCGCTGAGAGATACATTTTTGTGACTGTAGGGACATTCTAGATATTTCTTTTTTTTTTAAAGTCTTTCTTTTCCTCCAGAGTTTAGAAAAGTATAGAAACAGTATAACAGTAAAACAGTACTTTTAGAAAAGTATAGAAGGCTTCACAGAAACATTTACTGCCACTAAAAATTCAGCCCAAGTTAGATGGTTGTTGCATTTGTTCTTCCTATTAGCTGTATCCTGGCACCAGAACTCAGCTGTGGTCGGATCCCTGATGCCTTTGGTTAAAAACTTGGCTTCATTACTTATATTTTATGTATCTCACTTTGGTTTTATATGCAACTGAGTTTTCATCTCCCAAATCTCCGATGGCTCATATGTAATCTAATGGTGGAAACAACGTGGAGTACTTTGGTGCTCGGAGAAGGTTAATTTTGTGTTTTGATTCTCTTTCTCCTTTTGTGCTTCATTGTTCATCGGCGTCTCGGTACGACTCTGCGAGGCTGCCAGGCGCCGCTTTCCTGCTCGCCAGCGGGCGCGTCGGTGCCGGGGAGCGGAGCCTGCCCTGGGGTACATGCCAAGCTCTGCCAGGCCCGGGGACGGAAATAACTCTGCCGCTGAAGAGCTGCTGTTGTTAGACCCAAGCGTACCCAACGAGATGTAATATTGCGCTGTGTTCCGCGTCAGCCAGCTAGAATGGTCTATTTAGCATCTTCGCTCGCGGACTCCGATGAATTGACGTTTATTTGGGGAATTTTTTTCCCCTCTCCTTTTGCGGCTGCTCTGAGCTTTTCTGGACCAAAAGCTTTTCTTTTTTTGCTGATTATCTGGGGAGGACATGAGTGCTGCCGCAGAAACAAGCCGTGAGTGCGCTTGTCACAGATCCTGAGTATAGACTGAAGAGCAACTTTCTTCAGCAACATACAGACTTAGTGAAGTTTCTGTGGCAAAGGCTAATTACTCCATTCCTAAAGGAACTGTAAGTGTAAAGTAGAGGTAATTACTCAGCTGAGGAAGTGTAAATTAAGTACTTTCACCAAGGGAAGGGATGAGATTGATGGAGACTATTCTCTTTATACAGCCTCTTTCCAAACATTGATCTTATCCTGTCACTTACTGCAAGAGCAGCAAACAGAAGGAGTTTTAATTTCTGTATTTCCTATTTCCTCATCCTAAAAGTGCCCTGAACAGGGAAGGGTCGAATAAAACCCCTTTAAAGATCTTACTGTCAAGTTTTGTTATGATTTTCCCACTTTTTTCCATTTCCCTATGCTCTGCTGGTAGAGTGCTGTGTCTTGGATAAATGCAATTCAGGTAGCAAACAGCCTCGCTGTGAATGTTTTCTGATTTGCATTCTGGTTTTGGCAGGCTGAATAGCAATTTGTGTCTGGCTGGAACCATTGTGTTTCAGAATGGAGGAATTTTTCCACTTTGAAAAATAACCAGTTGTGGATGAGTTTATCATGGTCATTTTGAGAGATAAGGATAATTGCTCTCCGACTGAAGTAAATTGCACCAAGTAAATATTTGCAAGCTGAGATCAGTGGACGTGAGAATCGCATTTATTGCATGTGAATCCTGACCGGGCAGGAGGTATTGGGAGGCTCTCCTGTAACTTCTAAGGATGTAGTTGAGATTTCAACCAACCCATCTACTGCACGTCTGCTGATATTGAGGCTCATGAAGGAAGAATTACCTTGAATTTCGTAACTGAGGGCAAACAGGAAATGAGATCCATAAAGCAGACCGGCAGTGAGGGTTTCCGAGGTGTTCCCTGAGCACACCGACCCTTCATCCCTCCTCCTGCCACCATAAAATGCACTGGAGGTGGGAGAATGCTATGGATGGTGCTTCAGAAACGCAAACTCTATTTGCAGTTGCTTTGTATTTTTTGGTACCGGGTGAAGTGTTCTTTCACATTTGCTTGAATTACCTCAGGCTTAATCCTATCTTGTCTACTTTGTTCCAGTTCTCTCTGCAACAGGAAGGAATCAGCTTTAGGCCTTCAAAGTAGAATAACTGAGGAATAAAAATAAACCTCAGGAGAGCGGGGTGCAGGGAGAAAAAGCCTCTGGGGCAGCAAGTGTGAATCAGCATGAATTACAGCCCCAGGTGACAGTGTTCAGTTGTCTCTTTGGTAGTTAAAGTTCTGAGATGGTAAGGTTATAGAGGAAGATAGTGTGAATGGTTATAAGGCAGGCTGAGATATTTATAGAAAGGGGAAGACTAAAGTGCTATAAAATTAAGAACTGTTTTAAGAGAGAACCGCAAAATAGATCTATTTGTTCTGCCAAAAATGGCAATCAGACCTTATTAGGTAGCCAGATGCCAGTTTAGGAGGAAAAATAAAAAATGCAACCATTTTCTAATTAAAAAAATAGCATGTATGGTATGTAGGGAGCTGGTCCTCTCAGGGCTTCTAGTGCACAACCCCTTCCTAGAGCCCTTCCCTTGCTCACGCCAACGCTGTGACCCCAGCGCCCATGGCCGGGGGCTGCTGCCCCCTCCTCGTCGCTCCACTGGCCCAGCCGGTGGCAAAGATGTGAGCAGCTCGTGCCGGGACCTCTCTTGGACCAGCTGGCAGATTTGGGCTGCTGGGCCACTGCCAACCAGCCCTGCTGACAGCAGACCTGCCATTTCAAGTTTCTGCTTGAACGGAGCGTTGCAGGATGGAGTGCGGCTACATCTAACCCCCTGCACGAAGGACACCTGCCTGAGGCATGGTGGTCTCCACAGTTGCGTTTCCCTGTCTTTTTATTTGTCTTCCTTCCAAGGTATAAAGCATAAGTAGGGGCTGAGGTTGGACAGCCAGATGAAGGGAACCACGTGTGCTGGGGTGGGCCCTCTTGGCACTCTCCGTTTTAAGAAGACCAGTAATTCCAAGTGTGTGCGCGCTAAACGCTGCTTGTGGCATTGGTCCGTGAGCAAAGGGTGCAAGGAAAACCAAAGCCTGCCCCAACGCCATGGAAGAGTGTGTTCAGACTAATTGTTTGCAGACTCGGAAATAAACGTTAGCCAAAAGTATCAGGTCTCTGGGCACTGGATGCAGCCTGGCTTTCTGCTTGCAAAGCTCTTGCTTTCAGCGGGTGCAGCGTTAAGCCTGCGTCGGGTGCTTTGAACGGTCCCGCTCGAGGGGTCTGAGCGCGGATCAGGAGGGCTGACCTAGCCTGCCGGCCTAGGCACATAGGCAGCAGCTGAATTTTGAGTATCCAGACCTGCCCTGCCCAGGAGCCTACGTGTGGGGTCAGCGTTGATGGTTTGGTGTTTCTGTCCGGATGATCTCCCCGGACAAGTTGCGGCATGACGGCTGCTTGCCTTTTTGTGTTTCGGGAACTGCTGTGGGTCAGAGTGCTGCTCTGGCTTTCCAGCTGGCTGGGCTTCAGCATGCCTCTCAAAGCGGTGGGCTCTAGGGTTTGGAGCATTATTATCCTTTCTTTGGAAGAATCCCCCTGGTGAGCCCAAGCCCTCCTCGCCGCAGACCTTCTTCCATTCATCATGTGCTAAAATGGAGATACTAACCAAAGCTCATGAGCTTCTGGTTAGCGATACTTTTGTGTCAGGATTTTATGGTGCTTGTTTTGGTCCTTAACTCTTACAGCGTATTTTAAGTGGTAGCTGTATATGGAACCAGGAGCTCACGAACTTTACTTAGAAGAAATAGTTTAGAGGGTCTTTTCTCAAAGATGTGAAGAGCTATAGAGTGGTGCAAGCAGAAGCTTGGTGTGCAGAATGCTTTACTAAAAACTGTCTGCATAACCTGTGATGGTCAGATGTATGCAGATTTTTAAGACCCTAAGCAACTTACAGAAATGCTCGAGTCTCGAGGTCTTTTCTTTTTAAACACCAGTACCTGCTAATCTGCTAATTGGAGATATTTGAGAAGGTGGTTCTCTGTCTTCCCGAGTCACCTCTAAAATGAACATAACAGCTCCTTACTTCCGTGCGATCTTACGGATAAGGCCCTGAATCACCAGGGAGCACGGCAAGCAGGTACAGAGTACGGTACAAGGTGGGACAAAGACGTGTGTTCCTTCAGGTC